CCAAAACTCTCCTTATCGTTCTAATCCAAAACTCTTCTTATCGTTCGAATCCCAAACTCTCCTTATCGTTCTAATCCCAAACTCTTCTTATCGTTCTAATCCCAAACTTTCCTTATCGTTCTAATCCCAAACTCTTCTTATCGTTCTAATCCCAAACTCTCCTTGTCGTTCTAATCCCAAACTCTTCTTATCGTTCTAATCCCAAACTCTCCTTATCGTTCTAATCCCAAACTCTTCTTATCGTTCTAATCCCAAACTCTCCTTATCGTTCTAATCTTAAACTCTCCTTATCGTTCTAATCTTAAACTCTCCTTATCGTTCTAATCTTAAACTTTCCTTATCGTTCTAATCTTAAACTCTCCTTATCGTTCTAATCTTAAACTCTCCTTATCGTTCTAATCTTAAACTCTCCTTATCGTTCTAATCTTAAACTCTCCTTATCGTTCTAATCCCAAACTCTCCTTATCGTTCTAATCCCAAACTCTCCTTATCGTTCTAATCCCAAACTCTCCTTATCGTTCTAATCCCAAACTCTCCTTATCGTTCTAATCCTAAACTCTCCTTATCGTTCTAATCCCAAACTCTCCTTATCGTTCTAATCCCAAACTCTCCTTATCATTCTAATCCAAAACTCTCCTTATCGTTCTAATCCTAAACTCTCCTTATCGTTCTAATCCTAAACTCTCCCTATCGTTCTAATCCCAAACTCTCCTTATCGTTCTAATCTCAAATTCTCCTTATCGTTCTAATCCCAAACTCTCCTTATCGTTCTAATCCCAAACTCTCCTTATCGTTCTAATCCCGAACTCTCCTTATCGTTCTAATCCTAAACTCTCCTTATCGTTCTAATCCTAAACTCTCCTTATCGTTCTAATCCTAAACTCTCCTTATAGTTCTAATCCCAAATTCTCCTTATCGTTCTAATCCCAAAATTTCCTTATCGTTCTAATCCTAAACTCTCCTTATCGTTCTAATCCCAAACTCTCCTTATCGTTCTAATCCCAAACTCTCCTTATCGTTCTAATCCCAAACTCTCCTTATCGTTCTAATCCTAAACTCTCCTTATCGTTCTAATCCCAAACTCTCCTTATCTTTCTAATCCTAAACTCTCCTTATCGTTCTAATCCCAAACTCTCCTTATCGTTCTAATCCTAAACTCTCCTTATCGTTCTAATCCCAAACTCTCCTTATCGTTCTAATCCCAAACTCTCCTTATCGTTCTAATCCTAAACTCTCCTTATCGTTCTAATCCCAAACTCTCCTTATCGTTCTAATCCCAAACTCTCCTTATCGTTCTAATCCCAAACTCTCCTTATCGTTGTAATCCAGAACTCTCCTTATCGTTCTAATCCCAAACTCTCCTTATCGTTGCAATCCTAAACTCTCCTTATCGTTCTAATCCCAAACTCTCCTTATCGTTCTAATCCTAAACTCTCCTTATCGTTCTAATCCTAAACTCTCCTTATCGTTCTAATCCCAAACTCTCCTTATCGTTCTAATCCTAAACTCTCCTTATCGTTCTAATCCTAAACTCTCCTTATCGTTCTAATCCCAAACTCTCCTTATCGTTCTAATCCTAAACTCTCCTTATCGTTCTAATCCCAAACTCTCCTTATCGTTCTAATCCCAAACTCTCCTTATCGTTCTAATCCTAAACTCTCCTTATCGTTTCTAATCCCAAAATCTCTCCTCCTATCGTTCTAATCCCAAACTCTCCTTATCGTTCTAATCCCAAAACTCTCCTTATCGTTCTAATCCTAAACTCTCCTTATCGTTCTAATCCTAAACTCTCCTTATCATTCTTCTAATCCCAAACTCTCCTTATCGTTCTAATCCCAAACTCTCCTTATCGTTCTAATCCCAAACTCTCCTTATCGTTCTAATCCCAAACTCTCCTTATCGTTCTAATCCCAAACTCTCCTTATCGTTCTAATCCCAAAACTCTCCTTATCGTTCTAATCCCAAAACTCTCCTTATCGTTCTAATCCCAAACTCTCCTTATCGTTCTAATCCTAAACTCTCCTTATCGTTCTAATCCTAAAACTCCTCCTTATCGTTCTAATCCCAAACTCTCCTTATCGTTCTAATCCCAAACTCTCCTTATCGTTCTAATCCTAAACTCTCCTTATCGTTCTAATCCTAAACTCTCCTTATCGTTCTAATCCCAAACTCTCCTTATCGTTCTAATCCCAAACTCTCCTTATCGTTCTAATCCTAAACTCTCCTTATCGTTCTAATCCCAAAACTCTCCTTATCGTTCTAATCCAAACTCTCCTTATCGTTCTAATCCAAAACTCTCCTTATCGTTCTAATCCTAAACTCTCCTTATCGTTCTAATCCTAAACTCTCCTTATCGTTCTAATCCCAAACTCTCCTTATCGTTCTAATCCCAAACTCTCCTTATCGTTCTAATCCTAAACTCTCCTTATCGTTCTAATCCTCTCCTTACTCTCCTAATTCATCTTCTAATCCAAAATCTCCTTATCGTTCTAATCCTAAACTCTCCTTATCCTTCTAATCCCAAACTCTCCTTATCGTTCTAATCCCAAACTCTCCTTATCATTCTAATCCTAAACTCTCCTTATCGTTTTCTAATCATAAACTCTCCTTATCGTTCTAATCCCGAACTCTCCTTATCGTTTAAATCCCAAATTCTCCTTATCGTTCTAATCCCAAACTCTCCTTATCGTTCTAATCCTAAACTCTCCTTATCGATCTAATCCCAAACTCTCCTTATCGTTCTAATCCTAAACTCTCCTTATCGTTCTAATCCAAAACTCTCCTTATCGTTCTAATCCTAAACTCTCCTTATCGTTCTAATCCTAAACTCTCCTTATCGTTCTAATCCAAAACTCTCCTTATCGTTCTAATCCCAAACTCTCCTTATCGTTCTAATCCTAAACTCTTCTTATCGTTCTAATCCCAAACTCTCCTTATCGTTCTAATCCTAAACTATCCTTGTCTTTCTAATCCAGAACTCTCCTTATCATTCTAATCTGAAACTCTCCTTATCGTTCTAATCCTAAACTCTCCTTATCGTTCTAATCCTAAACTCTCCTTATCGTTCTAATCCCAAACTCTCCTTACCGTTCTAATCCCAAACTCTCCTTATCGTTCCAATCCAGAACTCTCCTTATCGTTCTAATCCCAAACTCTCCTTATCGTTCTAATCCCAAACTCTCCTTATCGTTCTAATCCTAAACTATCCTTGTCTTTCTAATCCAGAACTCTCCTTATCATTCTAATCTGAAACTCTCCTTATCGTTCTAATCCCAAACTCTCCTTGTCGTTTTAATCCCAATAAAGCACGAATCTACAGCATAATTTCCTTTTTAGATTGTGTTGTATAATTATTTGTTTAGAAAGTGTTCGTGTTTGATTAATTTCTTTTTGAGGTTTTCTTCTAGGTTCTTTGTATATTATAATTCCTCACCCCCCCCCCCCCCCCCCAAGTATTCCAATAACTTCCCTACTGTCTTGTGGATTACAAAGACATTGCTCGCTAGTAACTTCTCGTTGAGTCCTAACTGGCAACCAAATCATGCCCGGTACTCTTGAGTGCTGAATGAATGCCAGATGAGAGTTGCCGATATAGCAGAATTCTCCAAATATTTGTTTAGTCGCCAAATTTGCTGCTAACTCTACACGTGACTCTTTAACTGGCAACCCACTATCTAGAGCAACTGTCATTCCTAATCATCATCAACATCATCAACATCATCATCATCATCAACATCATCAACATCATCAACATCATCATCATCATCATCATCATCATCATCATCATCAAGGGAGCACCATTTTTGACAGGCAAGCTCTCACCACAGCCGGCTATAAATATGTCACACATGTAATCAGGTTTTGGCAGTTGCCACGTCACAGCAAACCGGTGTCCCCTCTGTTATTCCGTTCCTGTGTCAGCGAAAAGCACACATCCTGTCCATGGCTGACTCTTGTGCAAAAACTGACACTGACTCTAGTCTCGGCAAAGCTAAGAGAGTGCATACACGTGCATTAATGAACAACCTAGAAGCCAGAAGTGCCAACACAATCGATCCGGCAATGGAACTGCAGTTCATCGGCTGTATATGCAGTAGCTACAACACACCAGTAACTGCACAAGCAATTAATCGTATAAGGCCATCAAAATACAAATACTCCAAGCACTACCAGCTCTGCAGCAGCAGATTACGCCTTGTTTTCTGAACCAGTCATAGGGCACACAACGGACCGTGTTTGGCACAGTCGAAAAGCTTTCCAAATGAAATCTGCAACTCACAGTGTTGCGCCATGCGCTAATCTTAGTAGCTTTGCTATGGAATTCTTTACTTTCTGTCCATACATGAAGAAAAATTAAACAACTAAAGATGTAAGTTTTTTTCCGTTGGGGAAATGGGGTCTGAAAAGGGAAGTGGGGGGGGGGGGGGGTTAAAAAAACGTTTGTCCTAGCCCGCCTTAGAAGTGGTCGATGAAGGCAGCAGAGTCGGCACTGTGCACTTCACCAAGTAGTTCAAACCAGCAATTTATTACCTAGCGTCGCTTAGAGTGCCACCAGTTAGAATTGAGTCGTCTTTCATTTAGCCACCTTTCTGCAGTTTTATCTTGCTATGGTGGTAGACGCCCTTACCACTAGATCTGGAACAATGGCCTGTAGTTGGTGCAGCCAATAATTACCTGACATGCATTCAAAATGAACCTATAGAAGCGCGGGTTCAGGACGCTTTCAGTTATTTTTCAACGTGAAACACAAACACAACACAGAATACGGAAAGTACACAGAAAGATGAAAGTAGTATTCACAACTTCACCGAGAGATAGATCAAGCAATACACGAAGAGACACTTCACAACTTCACTGAGAGATAGATCAAGCAAGATAGATCTGGCATGATCAAACAGCAGACAGACACCAACCATATACCTCTTTATGATCAAACAGCAGACAGATACCAACCATATACCTCTATATGATCAAACAGCTGACAGACGTCAACTACATACCTCTATATGATCGTATATGCCTCGACTGTTACAAGTCCTGTAGCGGACATCCCCGAACGAACGCTTCACCGAGTCTGTTTGCTGTAGATCCTCGTGTCGTAGACTGACCTCTAGCGGTGGGCTCCAGCTCATTGGATGCTTCTGACATGACGTTAGCAGCATGTGGGTTTCTGGCTCGTCGTCATGGTTACACATGAAACAAAACACATTTTTATACATAATTTTATCCACCACTTTTGGAGTTAGGAAACTGTGACAAGCTCTTTCCAAAAATGAGTCTCGTTTATTCCAATTTCCGGTGACATTACATCGACTAATCATGGCCGGTTCCGAGTAGCACTTCCTGGCAGCATGGGAAGATGGTGGAAGGTAGGCCAATACGCAGTCTGGCTGTGACAGAGACATCAGGAGAACCTCCCGGGGGGTGTACAGGCTGGAGAAGTTTTTTTTGTTCTCACAGGAGATCTGGATGTTCCATGGGATTGTATCAACTACATCGTGGCAGAGTGCACAGTTTATGTTGATGAAAACCTGGGCGGAGTCGTTGGTGACGGAACTCACCGGGGCAATAGTTCCACTGTCCTGGCATTCATGGACGTCACCCGAGTAGGTCTGTGGACATCCTGTTACCATAAAGTAGCTCTGGCTTCGCGTTTCCTTTTCAAGTCTGTACGCCGTCAGGAGGTCCGACTGTCTTCTGGTTCTTGTGTCCTTCTCACTGGCACTGTACTCAAACGGAGGGTCTTGTAGCTCGGTATTTTCACATGACGTCACGCTAGGGTAACTTCCGGTGAACGGTTTCAGGAAGTTGTCGTGACTTGTCTCCAGGACAACGTCCGGACAACAGTCCTCAAAATGGCTGCAGTTGAGGTCACACTGACATGGCGCACAGCGGTAGCAACTGGAGGCCACGTGGTTTCCGGCAGACCCGGTTCTTTCCGCAGTATATCTGGTGCCAGTGCAACAACCTGTTTCCGAACACAGCCTGCTCGCCAGGCTTGGGCGCCGGGAACGCGTCGGATTTGATTTCATAGCGGTTTCTGGGAGGGGAACCTTTGAAAACAACTTCATTGTCTGCATGTACATCTGGGAGCTGCCACAGTATCCACACAAAGACAAATGCAT